TCAGGAGTGTCCAACCCAAACCTCCGGGTTATGAAGACGGTTATGCGTGTGATGCCACTTGTTATTCTGCCTCTCACGATCTCCTTCCCAACGGTGAGAAAGGTTTTGTCTCATTTCATCTACTTACTCATTGTAAAATTTAATTGAATTTTTGCTGTTAGTATGGTGTAAACCACCTTGAGACTGTTCCCCGTCCCCCCAGGGGTGAGAAAATGGTGGCTCTCAAACTTTGGTCTTCCAGGTGCTCTGAGTTCAGCTCCTAGGGTCTCTGACCTATCAAGCAAGCTATGAGCGTCTCCTGAGAGTTGAAATCCAAAACACCCGGTAGACCATAGTTTAGGAATCATGGCTGTAGAAAATGTTATGAACAGGTAGTGGTTGATGTTATATATTGATATGAAGCATACCATCACCGATTTAGACTCATTGCATGTAACCAAATTCTCTCACCTTGGCAGTTGAAGGATTACACACCCTGCAATGCCAGCCACACAAGAGCTTTGGAGGCCTAAATAAAGCACTAGATCCTATTTGAACTATCTATTGAGGCAGTTATTCCATGAAGTTTCCACACTGAGCATTCATTTATTTATTTATTTATTATTTACTGTATTTCTGTACCGTCTTTCTCAGCCCCTAGGTGACTCAGGGCAGTTAACAGGGTAAAATTCAATGCTTACAATGTTGTAAAAACCATTAAAAACATAACATATAATAAAAACTAAACAAATCAATAAAATATAAATTCATAGTATCTCCTTGTTAAAAACATTGTCCGGTCACATTGTCGTCATTCCATTTTCCTATGTCTGTTACTCTGCATTTGCAAATGCTTGTTCAAAAAGCCACGTCTTGACTTTTTTCCAGAATGTTAAAAGGGAGGTGGCCAATCTAATATCTATAGGGAGGACATTTCATAGTCAAGGGACCACCACCGAGAAGGCTCTGTCTCTCGTCTCCACCAAACGTACTTGTGACGAAGGCGGTAACAAGAGCAGAGCCTCCCCAGATGAAGTTCCTAGATGGTTCATAAGGGGAGATGCGTTCGGACAGAACCATTTAGGGCTTTATAGGCTACTTTGAATTGTACCCGGTAGCAAACTGGCAGCAATTTGATTTATATTTATCAATATAAATTTATATTACCAAATTTATGGCAATTTAATCTCTCTTTAACAGCCATGTCTCTGCCCCGTTGAATTCTGGGATTTGTAGTTTAGTTCAGAATAAGCAAACTGGACCGAAACTAACAGAAAATTTAACAAAAAATGCAATGTAGAGATATAGGATAGGCGACTCCTGGCTTCAAATCAGCCCATGTAAAAGGAATCCAGGAATCCATATTACCATCCATGGTAATATGGATGATGCAATTGGACCACGATTTTAGTTAGGAGATGTATTGGATTGTGATTTCGTGTAATATTGTGTATTATGTTTTTTATGGTTTTAATTGTATACTGTGCACTGTATATTTTGTTGTAAACCGCGTTGAGTCGCCAATTAGGCTGAGAAACGGCGGTATACAAGGACAGTAAATAAATAAATAAATAAATTAGTAAGTCACAAGCCAACAGTGTGATGCCGCAACTAAAAAGCCAATGTGATTCTAGGCTGCATCAATAGGAGTATAGTATCTAAATCAAGGGAAGTCATAGTCCCACTCTATTCTGCTTTGGTCAGATCTCACCTGGAACACTGACCAGTTCTTGGCCCCACAATTCAATTCAGTTACATTCTGTTCCCATCAAATATAACATGATTACTCTCTGGAAGAGAATTCTTGGTCCCTTCCCAAAACTGCAACTCTCAGGATTAACTGCCACATAAAAGTTGTAGCGATTAAAGTGGGATCCAATACCTATAACTCCAGGTTAGGGACACCCCACTTTTGTAGTCAAGCTATGCAGAGCTTTCCTATACAGGCCATAACTGTAAGACTGTAGGTTTTATATAGCAATATTAAATGATCACTCAGAAGCCGGTTTTGCTTGGAAATGAATATATTGCTTGTATCTCCCACCACCATTTCCTTTTATACACCTTTCCTGCTCATCTCCCCCCTCTTCTCAGTTTCCTTATTAGAGCTTGTTGCTTCATAAGTTCCAATACAAGGTTTCCAGCATCCTCTGCTGGCTTCAAAATGTCACAGAGAGAAAACTGAGGCAGCCAGGATGATTCAGTCAGGATGTCACGGAGCGAATTTGTGATGTCTTCATGCTGTCAAAAATTGACTCCTGACAATAACAATGCTTGGTACTCTCTCTTTCCTTTTTCCATGCAGGCTGTCTTCACCTATTGGATGACTTCGAACCTATTCTCATTGGTGCAAGTGGGTGTTCTGCGTATACCTGCCATTCGCACCCGCCTCCGCATCCCTGAGCGTGTGGAGCACGACCCGACTTACCTGCCTCCCCAGGAGGGATTTGTGAAGAGCCTCAAGAAAGGCAAGTTGGCAGGAGGGGGGAGTTGGAAGGCGGCAACAGGGAGAGTTAGGCGGAGAGGTCCTGTAAGTATGCCAACCCATACAAAGCTAATTGCATCCTGCTTTAACCAACCTGCAGGATGGAAGAATGCACAGTTGGCTCAGCAGCTGGAAGAAAGGGAGCGGCGCATCAAAAACCACCTGGATTTGGCAGCTAAAGGTAGGCTTCCTTCATCCCTGATCCTCATTTAATACCATCTATGGCAAGCATGGACAAACTTTGGTGCACTGGCTGTTAGGAATTGTGGAAGTTGAAGTCCAAAATACCTGTAGGGCCAAAGTTTGCCCATGCCTGGACTAAAGATGTATTTTATGTTGGACACACAAGGGAATGTATTCTTTGTGCTGCTAGGAATCAGTAGAAAATGGGGTACACATTGAGCATCCCTTATGAGAAATATCAAAGTCCTGCAAAATCCAAAATTGTCCATATGGGTGGCTGAGGTGGTGACACCATTGCTTCCTGATGCATCAATATATGCAAACTTTATTACATACTCTGTGATTTTTTTTTCTGATGGCCACAACTTTAAAAATACAGTATTGTAAAATGGCAAAAGATATAGGGGGGAAAGCATCCAAAATAATCCAACTGCCTCCCTGTGAGCACAACTGGAGATCATAGATCTCACTGGCTGCCGATCTGCTACCGGGCCCAATTCAAGGTGCTGGTGTTGGCCTACAAAGCCCTAAACGGTTCCGGCCCAAAATACCTGTCTGACCGCATCTCGGCCTATGAGCCCACGAGGACTTTGAGATCGTCCGGGGAGGCCCTTCTCTCGATCCCGCCTGCCTCACAGGCACGCCTGGCGGGGACGAGGGATAGGGCCTTCTCGGTGGTGGCCCCCCGGCTGTGGAACACCCTCCCTGTAGACATCAGACAGGCGCCCTCCCTTATGACATTCCGCAAGAGACTAAAGACGTGGTTGTTTGAGAAGGCGTTTGACTAAGTGCTACAACAATTGGCAATGATGATTGGAACGGAATATGGATAACGAGATTGGATTGTGATTCTATGATGAGACGTCGCGAATGATTTAGTGTAATTGTATTATTGATAGTGATGTTGTTATTGTTGTTTGTGATATTGCCTTTATTGTAAATTGTTTTTATATGTTGTACACCGCCGTGAGTCGCCCTAGGGCTGAGAACGGCGGTCTACAAGTGCAGTAAATAAATAAATAAATAAATAAATAGACTCATAGAATCATAGAGTTGGAAGAGACCTCATGGGCCATCCAGTCCAACCCCCTGCCAAGAAGCAGGAAATTGCATTCAAAGCACCCCGACAAATGGCCATCCAGCCTCTGTTTAAAAGCCTCCAAAAAGGAGCCTCCACCACACTCCGGGGCAGAGAGTTCCACTGCTGAACAGCTCTCACAGTCAGGAAGTTCTTCCTCATGTTCAGATGGAATCTCCTTTCTTGTAGTTTGAAGCCATTGTTCTGTGTCCTAGTCTCCAGGGAAGCAGAAAACAAGCTTGCTCCCTCCTCCCTGTGACTTCCTCTCACATATATAGATATTGAGGCTTAGAACAAAAAAGTAGATATTCTAGAAAAAAGTTCTGGGGAAAGTGTATGAATCTTTCCCTGTAGGTGAGTTGAACTTCCAGGAGATTTAGGATAGACAAAAGAAGCTTCTCTTTCCCCATAATTTTTAAAATGTACTCCCCAGCAATTCAGAAGGCTTTTTAAACAAGTAAAGGTTTTCCCCTGACATTAAGTCCAGTCGTGTCTGACACTGGGGGTTGGTGCTCATCTCCATTGCTAAGCCAGAGCTGGTGTTGCCCATAGACACCTCCAATGTCATGTGGCCGGCATGACTACACGGAGTGTTGTTACCTTCCCGCCGGAGCGGTACCTATTGATCTACTCCCAATAGCATGTTTTCGAACTACTAGGTTGGCAGAAGCTGGGGCTGACAGCAGAAGCTAACACCACTCCCTGGATTCAAACCTACAACCTTTCGGTCAACAAGCTGAGCAGCTCAGCAGTTTAACCCACTGCACCACTGGGGACTCCTTAAATAGGATTGGTCCTAATTAAACATTTTTTTTTGGGGGGGGGGGGGTTAATACAGCCCAGAAAACACACAGCAACCCAACCAATTTTTTCATTCTTTTTCGCTACTCAGGGCCACTGCGGCAGACCTTTTCCCACAATCCTCTGGAGCAGCACCCACCTCCTGCGACGAAACCACCCCCACGAAAGAGACCATGGGAGGATACGTTAGGCTGAGCCAAGCCTGTCAACTTCATCAGCCCTATTCAAAGCAAAGACTTGACACAGCAGCAGGTTGTCATATTCCTACTGCCACCGCCGCTTCAGTTTTCTGATCTTTGTTTAATAAAGGACTTGGAAGTTCCTTCTCTCTCTTTTGGCTCTACTGCAGTCAGGTTAGTGTAAAAGAAAGAGAGAGACAAGGAAGGTGGTGGTATTAAGCCAGCATCCGATCTCTGCATGCATTCAGCTACACGCATCTCACTCCAGAAGTAATTTTCTCTATTTGCAAAATGACTCTGTGTAGCTCATTTTCATTGAAAGGCCATAATTCAACAGACAAGGAAAGAATTTAACAAAAAAATGATGCTTTATTGGCTGTGTTCCCCTAATACCACTTGCAATCTCTCTTGACTTCTGTTTCTGGATTTTTGTTTTTTGGAAGGCCCCTGCTGGAAGCAGTAATCATCCATTTGTAAACAAGCATAGTCCAGTAATGGCAGCCATGAACCATTGCTGAAGACTATATTTTTCATCCCTGGGAAAATCTATGGAGTGGTCATGGTTTATTGGGGCTCCTGCTGATGTGGGTTCTTGTGCACCAAAGAGAGAGTGGAAAGTATTTTCAAAAAGTCCTAAAGATGCTGCAGCAGCTGTCACCCTGGTTTCCAACAACAAAGTCAGAAACAATAAATTAAGAGTTCTCAGAAGAGTCCATTGCATGAGGAGAAGGGAGAAGCCAGTCTCCCTGATAATTCTGTCTCCGTCACTGAGACTTTACATCATTGTCGGGATCCATCTCCGTCAAGACAGACAAGGACACAATCTGAATGAAACGTGTCACAGCGGCTGTGAGAAAAACAGAATAAATTCACCAGTTAGCAAAACAGGCAAAGAGAGAACAAACATATCTGAGAGAGCTGCCAATATAAGAGACATCAGCCAGGTTGTAGCTGGAATGGTGAAGCAAAATTTAGGGCAAAAGTACAACAAGCTCACTGAGACCAGCACTTTTCTAGATGTTATTCAGCTGGACCTCTCTTCGTGTCTCAAAATTGACTAGAACTGATGGGAGTTGTAGTCCCAACAGTATCTGGAAAACCACATGTTCCCCATCCCTGGAATGAAAGATTTCCGTCTCCGCAAAAATGTGAAATTCCGATGCTATGTTTGAAATAGCTGGGCAGATCTTTGCCTCCTCCAACTTTGCTTGCAGAATCTGTTACCTTGTAGAACTCTTTGTTTCTGCTAGAGCAGCGTTTCTCAACCTGGGGGTAGGGACCCCTGAGGGGGGTCATGTGGAGGGTGTCAGAGGGGTCATCAAAGATCATCAGAAAACAGTATTTTCTGTTGGTAAGGGGGGTTCTGTATGGGAAGTTTGGCCCAATTCTATCATTGGTGGGGTTTAGAATACTCTTTGATTGTAGGTAAACTATAAATCCCAGCAACTACAATTCCCAAATGTCAAGGTCTATTTTCCCCAAACTCCACCAGTGTTCACATTTGGGCATATTGAGCATTTGTGCCAAGCTTGGTCCAGATCCATCATTGTTTGAGTCTATAGTGCTTCCTAGATGGAGGTGAACTACAACTCCAGAACTCAAGGTCAATGCCTACCAAACCCTTCCAGCATTTTCTGTTGGTGAAAATGTGCCAAGTCTGGTTCAATTCCATCATTGGTGGAGTTCAGAATGCTCTTTGATTGCAGGTTAACTCTAAATACCAGGAACTACAAATCCCAAATGACAAAATGAACCCGCCCCCAACCCCACCAGTATTCAGTTTTGGGCATATCAGGTCTTTGTGCCAAATTTCGTCCAGTGAATGAAAAGACATCCTGCATATCAGATATTTACATTGCAATTCATAACAGTAGCAAAACTCCAGTTAAGAAGTAGAAACAAAAATAATGTTATGGTTGGGGATCACCACAACATAAGGAACTGTATTAAGGGGTTGTAGCGTTAGGAAGGTTGAGAAACACTGGTCTAGAGGGTGAAGCGCATGATACTATAGCTTTCTTTGTGACTAGTTTGGGATAGACCAGAGGTCATCTATTTTCCCTCCACTTTTTTATTTTTTAAGAGAAGGGTGTATAAAAAGGGACAATGTAGTAACGTTACATGGGAAAGAAGCGTCTATAAGTATGTGCACCAACAAAAACTAAGACGTTGTAAAGTGAAACAGTAAAAAGGGGGGAAAGCAGTACAAGTCCAAAACGACAGTATATATAACACATAACTCCATCTATAAAATAAAACATAAATAAACATTTGAACCAAATACATTATTATAGAGTCCCGTCGGATCATATTGCAATATGTTTGGGGGACAAGAAGAGACAAGATCTGGGAAATGATGGAGACACCATCACTCACCCGCAACCCGACGTAGGCACTGTGGTCTTTTTTCTTCAGGTACTCGCACCACCAGGTAATAGACAGGGAGGCCAGAAACCGCAATTGCAATGCCAATGAGAGAGTTGATGATGTCAGTGTAGAGGGGGACTGCTACCAGGAAGATGGTGCAAAAGCAGAAGATAATGGGGAAGACGATGCTAAGCTGGTAAGGAGAGAAGAAGACAAAGAAGGAACTGAACATTGTCCCCAAGCCCTTGGAAGTTGGGCTCACTCCTATTTCAAAAGGATGCTCGAAAGAAGGCAGAAGGCGGACACTCCACCAAGAGGAGAGATCATTAAGAATCTGCAGGAAATAGACTGAAGTCTATAATGCGAACACTAGGGCAATTCTTAGAGGCCTGTGTTAACACTTGCCTGTTGTTGCAAGAAATGGAAGACAAGTGAACTTTAGTCTAAACCAAATAGAAACTTCTTGCATTTTAAAGCAGGAGAGAGCTACTGTGGAGGCCATTACCCTCGGGTGAAAACTTAGAAGGTTGCTCTCCAACTCCCCACTCTGCTTCAACAACAACAGAAAGCATTAATAGTAGGGAGTTTGTCCCAAAATATTATCTCAGATACATTTTGTCCCAAAATATTATCTCAGATACATACACATGCATTCTGCCACAGTTCACAAATGGAACTACTATATATACTCAAGTATAAACCGAGTTTTTCATCCCTTTTTTTAGGCTGAAAAAGCTCCCCGTGGCTTATACTCGAGTCAATGTTATTTATTATTTTTATTACATTTATTACTTTATTTTTATTATTACAGTTATTATTTTACTCTGTTATTATTACATGTGTTATTCTACTCTATTATTGTTACTATTTTGTTGTTGTTCATTCATTCAGTCGTTTCCAACTCTGCGTGACCTCATGGACCAGCCCATGCCAGAGCTCCCTGTCAGCCGTCACCCCCCCCCCCCCCCCCCCAGTTCCTTCAAGGTCAATCCAGTTACTTCAAGGATGCCATCCATCCATCTTGCCCTTGGTCAGCCCCTCTTCCTTTTTCCTTCAATTTTCCCAAGCATCATTGTCTTCTCTAAGCTTTTCTTTCTTCTCATGATGTGGCCAAAGTACTTCATCTTGGCCTCTACTATTCTTCCCTCCAATGAGCGGTCGGGCTTTGTTTCCTGAAGTATGGACTGGTTGGATCTTCTGGCAGTCCAAGGCACTCTCAGAACTTTCCTCCAACACCACAGTTCAAAAGCATCTATCTTCCTTCACTCAGTCTTCCCTATGGTCCAGCTCTCACATCCGTAGGTGACTATGGGGAATACCATTGATTGTTACTATAAAATTTGTTGTTGTTCATTCGTTCAGTCGTCTCTGACTTTTCGTGACCTCATGGACCAGCCCACGCCGGAGCTCCCTGTCAGCCATCACTACCCCCAAGGTCAGTCCAGTCACTTCAAGGATGCCATCCATCCATCTTGCCCTTGGTCGGCCCCTCTTAATTTAACCTTTACATTTACATTATTTTACTCTTATTATTATTATTACATTTATTATTTTACTCTATTATTATTGGAAGGATACCTAAGCACATGAAGAAGGTTAGAATAATGGTTTAATCAGAGTTGGACAGTCTTATCTTAAATTACAGTTTTATGTAACTATCAAATACATTTAATCTACTGATGCCTCAATTAATGTAATTTTATTGGTATCTATTTTGATTTTGAAATTCATCAGGAACTAATTCATTTCCTACTCTTGGCTTATACTCGAGTCAATACGTTTTCCTAGTTTTTTGTGGTAAAGTTAGGTGCCTTGGCTTATATTTGGGTCACCTCATTCTCGAATATATAAGGTAACCCAAAATTGTCAAAAAGACATCTCCTGATCTTAAATGGGCAGACAGTCCATGCCTAGACCTGTGCCCAGTCTTATTTTACAGCCAAAGAGGAGAATTATTATGTACATCTGACTCCTGGGAGTCCATCACAGCATAACCAGTTATGAAGCATCTCTAGTTCAAAAGCATACAGAGGAAAGGAGCTGCCTACTCCTGTGTTAAAGTAAAAGTGTGTGAACATCTAATCAGTATTAGGAGACCCTGAGTAGGTAGTCTGCTTTGTACATTGGGAGGGGGCTTCTATGTTCAGCATATAAACTTAGTATTGTTTCTTCTCTCCCTACCTTGAGGGGTCGTTCTTTGGACGGTTCCTTCCAGCGCAGGTAGAGTTGCCCTGCGATCGACAGCCCCACAAAGAACCAGTAGCTAAAGCTGTAATAGTTGATCAGCTGGAAGATGTCTTCTACACACAAATAGACCAGAGACATGGCACCCTGTAGAAAACGTGAGACAAATGGAGCAAGGCCCACGCAGCGTTACTAGAATAAACTCTTCTGCCTTCCTGTCAGCTCACACTCCACCCACACTTCTGCATGAACTTGGAATAGCAACCCTGTCAGCGAGACTCGTGGAATAGATAATGGAGTCTATGAACCCAGTCCTCACCAAGACTGGGACCACCCACACGCATCTCCCTAGGAGAACCCACAAGTATTCCCGAAATTGTTGCTTTGTGTTATTTTAGGTGTTGTCTCATTATACTTGACCTCGTTCTTCCTTCCTGGGCTCTCAGACAGCAGCTGCCATGGTGGTTTCTAACAGAGAAGCCTTCCGAACAGCAGCTCAGACCTGCTTTCTCAGTAGTGTAATGGTATCTAGACCACAAACAGGCCACATCTGGCCCTTGGATGTCTTCAGCATGGGCCACTGTGGGTGTTTGGGACCTGACATTCCCAGACACACTACAAAGACTGGCGGGAACAAGACTGCAAGGGGAAGAGCTTTCACTCTTTTATCTATCCCTTATCTATCCCTATCTCTTTTATCTATCCCTTATGCATTCCAGTCCATTCACCAAACAGCTGTTTGTTGAATGAGCCAGAGTTCAATTTCAGGAAGGAAAAAGGTGGACTAGGAGATGTTTGCCCAAAACATGCTGAGACAAAGCACAAGATTCCACACACACACCATATATTCCCAACACAGGGACTATTCTGAACTGGTGGGGAGACATAAAGGGGCAGCAAACTGACCAAACAGGTAAAGGACAGGGTGGGTCACATACAAATTTCCGCTCTCTAAGTTCTTGCAGTTTGACTCTTGCCTATCCACTGCCTCATTCCACTTCTTTGGCTGGAGCCAGCTCCTACTTCTCACCCTCCTTCCCTTGTAGAACAGCATACCCTTCAACTGTCCCCATATGATAACGACAGTCCTGATAAATCCTCTGTCATCCAACTTTTCAGCTTTTAAAATAAATATCCGTTTATCTCCCTTCCTCCCCCTGTGTTCTTGGCATCCTTTGACTGCTGTAAGCTGGATTAAAAGTGCAAAAGTATCTTTGGCTTGATTAATTTAACAGTGGAAAGAGAAAAAAGGCTAAATCCTGCTTTTCACAGGAGGCTCAGAAAAAGCAAATTGCTGCAGCCTCTCCTAACTTGTGTCTTCTTCCTCATTAATACCTTTTGTCATCTTTACCACTCTCTGGTGGTACATGGCCACTTAAGTCCCAGTTCTCATCTGCGAAATGTTGAAGGTCATGGAACTATTTGGACACCTATGCATAGGCCTTGATCCTCTGTCCAACGAAGTATGCAATACTCTTAACCAAAAAAAAAAAAGCCTCTCTCCTCTGAGTTTGAGTATTGGACTGTTTTAAGGAATGTTTAATTTCTGACACATCAAGCTTCCTATTTAAAAGAAGTTTATGTCCTCTATTGTCAAATCCAGGATCCGGGTGCATAGCTTCAGACCCTGGTGGTGCAATGGGCTAAACCCTTGTGCTAGCAGGACTGAAGACCGACAAGTCGGAGGTTCAAATCCGGGGAGAACGCAGATGAGCTCCCTCTATGAGCTCCAGCTGCCCATGCGGGGACATGAGGGAAGCCTCCCACAAGAATGGTAAAACATCAAACATCTGGGCATCCCCTAGGCAATGTCCTTGCAGATGGCCAATTCTCTCATACCAGAAACAACTTGCAGTTTCTCAAGTCACTCCTGACACACACAAAAAAAAGCCTGGGTGCAAGTTCCTACAGATAACAGAGAAATGTTGGGTAGGAATGCACTATAAACAAATATAATTTTCTAACATTCTTTCCTATGCAGAGAACAGCTACTGTGATTATCATATGAGCCAACAACAGTTTTTGTATATGTATATTGTCTTTTTTTTCAAATGTACTGCTCTATTATTAGTAAGATTTATATTGTATCTTTCCTCCTGAAGTCCACATAAACAACCTGCACATGTCCACCCTTTTGCTGTTGACACAGAGGGATTCTTTTCTTAGTAAAAATGAACAGAATAGTCATTTTAATCTAGGAAATAAAGGTGGCAAAGTTTAGTCAACTACTCATTAGTAGGTCTGCAGGTTTGTTTCCCTTCTGTGTGGCTTGTCGAATTCCTGCCTAAGCAAACTATTGGAAAACAGAGATGTTTTAAAAGACCAACCCCCCTCCCCACACCTCCCCTTGCCCCATGGGACTTACATTAAAGAGCAAGGCTGGCACGGGAGTGAATCTCCAGACATGAATCATGCAGATGGCATCTGGCAGGTGCCCCTCCCGGGAGCCGACAAAAAACAACCTGTGGAAAGTGAGCAAGCATGAGGAAAAGTATGGCTCAAATGAAAAAGAAACTTATTGATCCAAGACCAGCTTGTGAATTCAGAGGGGAAAGGGCACCCTTGTGCAAAATGCTGTCATGTGTCATCAAGATGGTTTTGACTTATGGAAACTCTGTGAGTGTGAAATCTCCATATGCCCTGCTCAGGTCTTGCAAACTGAGCCTATCAACCCATTTGTACAGTGGTCTTTCACTTTCTCTACTGCTTTTAGCTTTTTCCAGCACTATCATTTTTTCCGTATTACATGATGTGTCCAAAGTAATGATAGCCTCCATTCCGTCACTTTGGCTTATAGAAAAAGTTCGAGTTTAATTTGGTCTCAGAAGGAACTAGGGGCAGGGCCTTCTCTGCTCACAAACTTCAGGATTCTCCCTAGGAAAACTAGGGTCATTTTCTTCTTGCACCAGCAAGTTAAAGCATTGTTATGCCATCAGGCTTTTAGAAACTGAGTGGGATGGGCTTGTAATGGTGTGCTGTGATATGTATGTAATATTTTAGTAAATTTTAACATATTTAAACCACTGAAAACAACCAATTATCTTGACATGAATCAAACACTGAAAGATGATAACTCACACCAAGCTCTGGATCACACTTGCTTACTTATGTGTGTATTTATTTCTATCTTCCCACACCCAATATGGCTTGATGAGATGAGAAAACTTTGGCCTTTCAGATGTTTTTGATGTGGAAAGCACCTAAAAGATTCAACAAAGCCAATGGTTAAGGAATCGTGGAACTTGTGATGCAAGAATCTGGAGGCCAAAGGTTTCCTATCTATGCTGTATAAGAAAATGCAAACTATATTAATTTTGTACTGAGTTGGAGGAGACCTCATGGGCCATCCAGTCCAACCCCCCTGCCAAGAAGCAGGAATATCACATTCAAATGAATAATTTGAACGAATAGCTATGCATTTGAATGATATATTAGTTTTAGCTGTGTTTTGAAATTTCATGTAGATATGTAACTGGGACCCACTAACCATCTTCAGTACTTGGTGATTCTGTGAGCCTGCAGAAAGCATTTATTTCCAAGTTGTTATATAACATTGCCCATGGGGATATGGTCCTTTTGTAAACAACTACATTTCAATTTTAAAATAGATAAACAATAGCAGAATGGAAAAGATAACTTTCCATAGAATTTCCTTGATATGGCACCATTTTTTTTCATCCATGTGGTTGCCTTTCATATAAAATGATTTCCTAGAGGATACCAACAGAAGTGAGAAGATCTTAAAAATGTTTCGAGAATCCTAAGGCATGGGAAACATACATATGGACAAATAGAAAGAAGGAGGGAGAGATTTATTACCTGGAAGCTGCTAAGATAGAGGCATTAAGACCTCCTAAACAGGACAAGGCGACAGCAAGCGGGATGACCCATTGCATAACTCCAAAAACCTGATTGCCAAAAGTCTGGAAAGTAGAGGAAAGGAACACCAATTGAGCTGGTCGTAAGAGGTGGGGAATGTGTGATTCCAGGCACATATGTATCCCACCCAGACATTTCTGTACCAGCAAAAGAATATTGCATACCACCTACAAACCCCCAGGAGTGGCGAACCAATATTTAAATAGGTTGCAGGGCCCTCATCTGCCACACTGTTAAATATCTTTTTTTTTTCCAATCCTCCAAATTTCTGGCTATTTTTGCTTTTGTTTCCACCACCCCAATTTCTGGCATTTTAGACATCTCTTGCAGTTTCCATAGGGTTCCATTGAAGAAACCTTGCCCTTGAAGCCACCAAGGTTGCCCAACCCTGCAGTATGACATTATTTATTTCTTTAGTAGGGGTGGAATTCCCATCAGCCTTGGCCATAAGGCCACTGTTTTGGGATGGTCAGAAACAGTTTTAAAACACATGCACCAACACACTTTCTCCCACCCCTCCTGTAATAAACTGATCAACCAAGAAAATACATATTGCAGGGCAATCAAAGTAACTAATAAATCGGCACGGTGTTCCTTCACACAAGTAATCCTTTACTTTTTTCATGAAGGAGTTTTCAGTGAAGAAAGATATCAGACTGAAGGCAAGAACCACAGGGATTCTGAAGTGAGTAGCCATGAAGAGGAGTGATACAAACCACTGCCACGGCATCGCTTGCCAGTATCTCCATTTTGCTCAAAACGGTGTAATAGGCCACGTTGGTCATGATGTAGATCACGGTGACGATGGGCATGGAGATGCCAATGGAGAGGGGCAGGTTTCTGAAGAATAGGAGAGACAGAAAAAGTATACCAGATAATGTATACCTCTCCAACATCCCAATCACATAGGACTACAAGTTGAATAGCCCATATTATGAACCCAACCCTTAGAAAACTGCTCCCTGGGCCAGCCTCCCAGAATCCTCTAATGTCTAGGTCAAACTTCCAGTCATTTCTCTTTTTTTTAGATTTATTTATTCAAACAGACATATATTTGTGTTTACTGTGTACAGTGCAATACTTTCCAGTGTTTAGTGTTCCATAATCATTCCTCAGATAATATATTTTCTTTAAGGGATCACAGTCTTCTATTTAAATAATACATAGACAGGTATCATAGGCTCTAAATTCCTCCTTGTTTACATACAGGATCTTCTATGTTCATTTTTAGTTTAGTTTTACATTGAGATGTTGAATCACTGGTTGCCATTCATTAACAAAGTTATCTAATAACTTAAGAGTACAATTGTTTTATCAGTTATCAGCAAATCTGTAATGTATTTTTCCCATTCTTCTAAGGGAGGTATCTCTGAGGTTTTCCAACATCTAGCATATACTATTCAAGCTGCCATTGTCATGTAAAACAATTTTTTTTCCAAATTTCTTTTCCAGGTCTTCATCCGGCATGTTCAAAAGGTACATTTGTGATGTCATTTGAAATTTGCGTTTAACATCTTTTTCAAATATACATGAATCTGTTTCCAGTTGTTTACTTTGTGGCATGTCCACCACATATGGTAAAATGTGCCTTTTTCTTTCCCAAATTTCCAACAATTGTCAATGCAATTGTACATCTTTGCTAGTCACTCTGGAGGAAGATACCACCGCAGGTGCATATTGTAGACATTTTCTTTTAGGTTTTGTCATGCCGTGTATTTCATTCTTCTCTTCCATGTCTTTTCCCATTAGGCCATTGTTATCTCTTGGCCTATGTTTTGAGCCCATCTAACAATCGAGTCTTTTACTGCTTCCTCTTCCATGTGCCAAGTCAGTAGGTTTTTGTATTTTTTTCTGTTTAATTGCAACAAGCTCTCTTTTACTGATTTTTAATCAAATGCAGACCAAGTGCAGTCCATCTATGTCTTTTTTTTCTGCAGATGTCAATACACTTTATTCTACAACACGTCTCTTTCACCACTTGAGCTTAAAAGGAAATGCAAGCAATTCTTGATTCTATCCAAAAATCTTCTAACTCTGTTGTAATGTCAAATGTTGGACTCTAGATGGTAGCCATTCTCCACATGAGCCAGTTTCCGCAGAAGTGTTAAACAAAGACTACTGATGTGAATAACACTAGGGAAATCTATTGTCAGGAATCATGAGAGTTGTGAGGAATAGTGAGACTTTTACAAGGCCTTCTCTACCCAAAAAAAGGATGCTAATGCCTCATCAAACTTCAACACCTGGGATTCCACAGCATTAAGCCGTGGTAGTTAAAGTGGTCTCAGACTGTATTAAGTCTATAGTATATATGCAACCGTGGTATTAGTAATACTGCTCTTCCTCGGGGACATCACAGGCATTGTCTAATATGAACTTCTGGTTTCATTCCAGGTCATGGTGACCTCAACTACTTATGTCCCTACACTAACTACAACATTCTCACACAGTTCATGCTCTGACCTTTCAGGGTTTTTAATTTCTTCTGTGACGAAGTTGAGGGTGTCCCATCCGGAGTAAGAGAAAAGCGCCGAGTAGAGTGCCAATGCAATGTCCCCGACATTCCAAGAGGAGCCTTCGAAAGAGTCTGCAAAGTTCTCAGAATGTCCTGTGAGGAAAGATATCAGTTCTCGTAAATTAGTAAATCACCCAATATGTCATTGTCGCCATGGCTTGATGGCTTGCCACTGGATGTGTGTGGGAACTGGCTTTTATTAAAAGTACTGTGCCTGAGAAAATGTAAAATAGTGTTCTCACATAATCACAGAACTGGAATAGTACCAAGGCTGTACTTCCAGTTCTGTCCAACCTTCTGCCAATGCGGAAAGCCACAACTAAAATATCCCTAAGAGGAACCCAGCATGATGCGGTGGTTTTAGCATTAGGCAACCACCCTAGAGACCAGTATTTGAATCCACACACAGTCACAGAAACCCATTGGGTGATCTTAGGCAAGCCACACTCTCTCAGCCTCTTGCCACAAAAATCTGATAATAGGGTTGCCTTAGGGTTGCCTTCTTGCATCAATCAGAAAGGTGTACAACAAAGA